TCACTTCTGGCGAACCAGAGCAGCACACGGAAATGCTGTTTACCTTCCCGCCAGAGTGGTACCTATTTATCTACTTGCACTTTGATGTGCTTTCGAACTGCTAGGTTGGCAGGAGCAGGGACCGAGCAACAGAAGCTCACCCCGTTGCAGGGATTCGAACCGCCGACCTTCTGATCGGCAAGTCCTAGGCTCTGTGGTTTAACCCACAGTGCCACCCGCGTCCCGATAAGCAAAATAATAACTGAATAATTCTTAATAACTCTACTTCCATTTCCCTGGTCTGGAACTAAAAATATTACAAGAATTTTAGATCTGCCTAGCAGACTTTTATTTTCCTCTTAATTTTCTAAGATCGAAGTCATCAGTAAACAGAACTATAAGTATATATACTTCTGCATGTCTTCAGATTCCAAAGCCTTCAGCCAAATTTATTCAGAGTGTGTTGTGTCTTAGTGTGTTCATCTGAAGTATCTTATTAGCACTCACGTACACGACTTGTATAGCACCACCTGTCAGAAAGCTCTGCATGGATTTAGTCAGATAAAGATAATGTACTAATATATGCAGGTCAGCAGGGGTGAAACATATTGCTAGCATTGAAAGCAGAAGCAATTTAAACTTAAATGAATATAAATGATATACACTTGTGTGTGATGCCATTGTTTTCAGTGGTTCTGAGGCAAAGCGTAAAGCAAAAGAAATGAAAACTGGTGATGAGTCATTGAGCAAAACATTGAAGATTACATCTGAGCCAAACTTCTTGTCACAGAAAGCTTTAACAGTGGTGAAAACCGTTCCTTAAGAAACCATCCTTTGGACTCAAAAGACTTGATCAACTATTGGCTGGTTGCAAATGTTTCCTTCCTGGGCCAGGCTCTTGAGTGGGTGGTGGCCAACTAACTTCAGGCACTCTTGAATGAGATGGATTTTCCAAATCAACTTCAATCAGGGTTCAGGTCCAGATTGGGCAGTCCCTCTGCATGATAGGAGAGGGGAGTAGGTCCTTGTTGATTCTCCTTTATCTCTCAGCAGCTATCTAAACTAAACCATCAAAATGTATCCCTCTGGGGAGACTGTGCAAGTTAGGAGTAGAGGGTTCTGCTGCTACCTGGGTGGTTGTCTTTGGAATGTGCTGCTTGTGGGGTGCTGATCAGCCCCACCATGGAGCTTCCAGAGCCAAGTTCCTCAGGATTCAGTTTTATCCCCTCTGGTGTTTAATATCTACTGGACACTGCTGAGTGGGGTCATCCAGATTTTGAGAGTTCATTGTCATCAACATGCTGATGACCTACAACTCTGCTTCTCTTTTATAGCTCAAGCAGGTGTGGAAGTGGCAAATTGAATTGAGTGAAGAATGGACTGGATGAGAGCCAACAAACTGAAGTGCAATCCAGATAAGATTGAGACACATTTGGTGGGCAGTTCCTCTGTCAAGATAAGTTGAATGTGTCCTGTTCTCAATGGGGTTACATATCCCTTGCAGGAGCTGGTGCACAGATGGCGTGGTGCTCTTGGATCCTAAAGTGGTTCCCCACACATTCAGGAAAGCCTAGTAAGGATTTCAAGGGGTTTTAAGGGAGCATGGGTGTAAAGGAAGGTTGGAGAGAATGTAAGAAAGGACACTCACAACCCCCCTTGGCTGCCTTGAAATCACAGTGACCGTGACAAATACCCCACAACCCAGTCACAAGAATTTCATTGAAATTTCTTCTCCCTTTTAACAATCTTGGAATGCAATTTCTTTTCTCATTGACAAAGGGTGATTGGAGGAAAAGTGTGGGATACATTTTTGGCACAGTGCTAATCTCCACACTATTGAACTTATGTTTGCAATGAGCTTTCTACAATTTCTGAATGAGTTACGGGACTGAATGAGGGCCATTAAACTATGCTTGAATCCTGGGAAGAGAGAAGCACTTTAGCTCCCATGTTCAAGAGATAGACAAGTTACCTGTTGGGTGGAGCTGCACTGCCTTTGAAGGAATCGTAGAATCATAGAGTCATAGAATTGTACAGTTGAAAGTGCCCCAATAGTCAACTAGTGTAACTCCGAGAGATTAAATGTCTCCTGTTCTACCAACTCAGCTACAAAGGTGGATAAGGAGCAAGTGCATACCTTGTGACTACTCCTGGATGCATTTTTGCCACTAGAGACCCAAGTGTCCTCTGTGGCTAGGAGTGCCACTATTATCTAGTTTGCCAACTATGGCAATTCCTGGATGTGCATAGCCTGACCACTGTAGTCCATGCATTGGTAACCTCAAGACTGGGTTACTGTAAGGTGCTGCTTGTGAGGTTGTCCTTGGGTCTAGTTCAGAAGCTCCACTTGGTGCAGAATGAAGTGGCCAGACTGCTGATGCAGGTATCTGGCTGGGAACATGTGAGCCCATTGCTAAAATATCTGCATTGGCTGCCCACTTACTACTCAGCCATATTCAAGGTTCTTGTATTGATTTATGAAGCCCTGGACAACTTAGGCCCAGGGTACCTCAGGTATCACCTGAAGCCCTGTATCCCAGCTCCATCACAGAGATAATCTGCAGGAGCGTTTCTGGCCATTCACTGAGTTGGTGAAGCTCATTTGGCAACGAGAAACTGAGTTTTTAGTGTCTTCACACTAGTCCTGTGGGACGCCCTGCCATCAGAGATTCAGCATGTGCCTTCTGTGCCAGCTTTTCAATGCCTGCTGAAAACTTTTCTATTTCACCAGCCCTATGCAGGCAATTAAGAATAATGCTTTCAACAATGGTTAATTGATGCCTTTTAAAAACTGTTAAATATACTTTTATGGTATGGTTTATGTATTTTTGTTGTAAACCACTTTGATTTTTTTATGAAATAATGGTCTATAAATATTATATATATATATATATATAAAGAGAGAGAGAGAGAATTGCAGAATGAACTTTGCATACCATAGCTCCTGGTATAGGAGATTAACTGAACTTTCAAAACTCTCTCACCTCTGCTGTACTAATCCTCTCTTCTATATTAATCTCCCCTGGTTTCTTTTTTTTTCTTTTCAAAAGTATCTCAGTGTTTGGTGTTCAGAGGGGAGCTTGGGGAGCAGAAAAAGAAGCAGTTGCTGTGCCGTCTAAAATCAGAGTGGTAATAATAGCTCGCTCCTCAAAATATAAGTTGCATCTCTTATAAAAAGCTCTTGAGCACACGAAACAGATGTCAATGGAAATTACACCCAGTCACTTCCTCCACAGGCCTGCAGCTGCTGCTACGTCCCTATATTTTTCTCCCTCCCTATATATATATTAGCGTTCACCTGTTGGGAGGTCACACAAGCTTTAGGACATGCACGTCCCTCCTTCTCTGTCCCTCTTGCCTCTGTTCACTCTAAAACAAAGCAGAGGTCTCCCAAATCCCAAATTGTGGAATAGCTGCTGACATCATATTTAAAAAGTAGAAGATTTCAGCAACCAGGATTTTCACAGTAGCATGCCTAGCTGGAAAAGCATCTACATTTCATTAAATTCATTTAGTGATTGGCTTTCCTTTTTTAAATTTTATTTTACAGTAATGTTAACTTGGAGTTTGGCCAGGTTTCAGGGAAATACCAGGCATTTGGCATGGACAGAAATAGTGTGGCAGCTCAAAGCACCACAGCAAAACAAATGAAAGTCAATGTGGTGAATCAGATCCAAACTAGAAAGGGCAAGCATGTGCGGATAAAAACAAGGATTAAGGGCCAGAAGACCTACATTTGCTCTGAGGGCTGACCAAGTTTCTCCATCCAATTGAAGGCTTTACCCCAGGGAATCCTACTGACACATTAAGATCGTCAGTTCCATTTGAAATTACAAATCCTGTCAAACTGTAGCAGAAAAATCATATTCCTGTAGTTTTAAAGCACAGATATGGATGCACGTTGAGTGTTTGGATATATATGTGTTTTAGTACAGTGGTACCTTGGTTTTCGAATGCCATAAACCTGGAAGTAAATGCTTTTATTGTTGTTAGCCGCTCAGAGCCTGGCTTCGGCTGGGATATAAATAAATTTGTTGTTGTTGTTGTTCAGTTTTTGAACACATCTTGGAAGTTGAACATGGCTTCCGCTGAGTGCAAGATCCTGAGGCCTAGCTATCAGCTATTGAGTTTTCAGTTTTTGAACGTTTCAGAACTCGAACGGTCTTCCGGAACGGATTACGTTTGAAAACCAAGGTACCACTATATATTGATCTGTGTGGTTCCCACAAACCCAAAGATTCCCTTTGGTCTTGTGGGCTTAATAAAGATTTGATCGCTATGCCAACTCGAAGCTACAGGTGTACCAACTTGAATAAAATATTTGGGGGCCCAGGTAAGCCCCACCCCACATAATCAATCACGTGAAGCAGTGCACACATACCATTTGAATGGTAATGCCCATCAACTTTGCGGGGGCCCAGTCTCCTCAAATCTTTTATTGCGGGGGCCAAGCCTCCACAGCCCCCAGCAGTTGCCTCCTATGCCAAGCTGGCATAGCCTGAAACAGACCTTTGCTTGTTCCCTCCAGCCTTCTGCACTGGCTGGTATGAGCGAGAGGCCTACAGTTGTAGCTATGCCACTCTGTCATGCTCTGCCACTGCTGGGCAAGGGTTTGGATTGCTCTGTTAGTAATAGCTGTTATGCTTTAAGACACCGTCATTACTTCCCCTTAAGAGCTCCGGCAGCAATGGGCTTTAGGAGCCGCTGGACAAAGCATGCTTGAGGAGATAAATGAAAGTGGCTTCCCATTTATCAGGTGAGTCATAAAGGTTCCAGCCGAGTTTCACTTTGGATGTTAAATGGCCAGCCTGAACACAGGATGGATTGAACTGGTGATACTCAGCTAAGAGCACTGGGTAGGCACTGGTCAAAGGTGGGACTCATTCATTTATTTAACAGGATATATATCCTACTTGATCGGGCTTTGATGATTTTAAACCACCTCTAAGTACAGGTGGGTAGCCATGTTGGTCTGCCATAGTCGAAACAAAAATAAATGAATAATAATAATAATAAAAATCTTTCCAGTAGCACCTTAGAAACCAACTAAGTTAGTTATTGGTATGAACGTTCATAAAGTGTGCATGCACACGAAAGCTCATACCAATAACTAACTTAGTAGGTCTCTAAGGTGCTACTGGAAGGAATTTTGTTTTGTTTTGTTTTGTTTCACCTCTAAGTAGTTTACGACAGTAACTGTCTGGGAAGGTCTGCCTGTTTGCATACCAGCTGCTGCGTTTTTCTGTAACTATCCTGCTGAGGGCATGAGCAGCAATTAACTATCCCATCTCACCAGTGGTGCTATGTTCTAAACCACTGAGCCTCTTGGGCTTGCCAGTCGGAAGGTCAGCGGTTCAAATCCCCACGATGGAGTGAGCTCCCGTTGCTCTGTCCCAGCTTCTGCCAACCTAGCACTTTGAAAGCACGCCAGCATAAGTAGATAAATAAGTACCACTGCATCAGGAAGGTAAACGGCATTTCTGTGCGCTCTGGCACTTGTCACAGTGTTCCGTTGCACCAGAAGCGGTTTAGTCATGCTGGCCTCATGACCCGGAAAGCTACCTGTGGACAAACATCGGCTCCCTCGGCCTGAAAGCAAGATGGGCACCGCAACCCCATAGTCGCCTTTGACTGGACTTAACTGTCCAGGGCTCCTTTACCTTTACCTACCATTTAATTTGCTCAGGCAGTGATGGGGTCACAGATCTTGGGGGGGGGGGAGCAGGGGTGGACGTTGGTAAAATAGCACCCTGCGTGAGGCCAAAATTTCATGCTTCCCTTCAGCCCAAAGCTGCCTTTCCAAAGATGGATAAGGGACGTGCTGGGCTTTGGGAATGAGGCACAAGGCTGTGGCCGGGTTTTAGAGCCCTCTCTCTTCCTCCCCAAAGCCGGACAAACACTAACTAGCCTTTGGGAAGGAGGAAGGAGGACTCTGGGACCATATCAGAGCTCTCACACCTCCTTTGCTTACTTGGCTTTGGGAAGGAGGCAGTGGGGGAGAACTGGTCCCACTGCCCTAAATCCACTCCTGGTGGAGGGACACTTCTGCCCCATCCAAACCCCTTCAAGTGTGGTAGATTGTGGGTTTGGATCACGCTACATCCTAAAGCTGTCCTTGTCCATGATTTTGAACCAGAGAACTCAGTCTGAATTCCTGCTTTGGCAATTGCGAACAGCAGCAAGGTTCACGTATGGCATGTCACTGGAAGTCTCTCAAGTAACAGCAGTGAGCTGGTAACATTTGGGAGGTGATGATTAGGTATAAACTCACTCAGAAAGTGCAGCAGCAAGGGACTTTAATTTTTAAAATAGATGTTGGGGTGCCATGATTTCTATCAATTTCCTTTGGAGAAGTACTTCAAGTATCTCATCACATTCCACCCAAAGGCAGAGGCAGATATATTTTCCTGGCTATGATTCAGCTATATAACTCACCCAGCCACATGCTCTCAGTTGTTTGTGAGCTTCTCCTATGCTGTATTAACTCCCACAAACTTACCCACAACATACTTAGGACTATAATCAGTGAGTTTCCTTTCTCCCCTTAATTAGAGATCTACTTGGATTGTTACGTGTTCTTGCTTTTCGTTACCGAAGTTTTAAAATGTATTTCTGAATAAAATTCTACAAGAAAATAAAATCTCAATTTTAATTACAAAGCATAGTACAGTTCTGATGGATATGAGCCACGGATCATACAGGAACTATGAGCGTGCTAGATTTGTATGATGGACCCACTAATAATTATGGATTTTGGTGTTATCATTCAGGCAAAGTCCTTCCTGAGTGGGCAACAGTGGGGTAGCAAGACAATTCATATTTTGAAAATAACTCCACCTACTGAAATGCTGTCAAATGGCTCTGATAATTACAGCACAAGGAAAACACATTGTGTTTCATTTGGGATGTTTTCATTGGGCTGCCTCATTTATTTGCATCTGAAACGTGAGAGAAGCTGAGTGATGGTGTCCAAGTGGTGTCCAAGTTAAAGTTTGTCAGACAGATGTGAACAAACCTATGCAAAAGAATGGAAGGGTGGAGGTTCATTATTCAAATAGCATCCAAATTATTTTGTTTCCTTTTATGACTCTGCAAATGCATGTTGAAAGCATGGCACATAGAAATAAAATATGATCAAATTCTGTTTCTATTGTAAGAAAAAGCCTGCATCAGCAACAAAATCAAATTTCCTTTCCCTCAATGTGTAACATCTTGATTTGATGTGTATCCTTTTCTTCCTCCAAGGAGCTTCAGCTATGTCCCTAGTTAGTTATACACAAGAGTACTCAAGACTCAAACATGCTTGGGTTCAGAGATGGAATCCTATCCAGTCATTCTCTGGACACTGCGTAAAACTGGTTCATCTTGAGATAGACTAGGTGATATCTGTCATGGACTCTAGGCTAGCAGGCTTTTCAGACCTGAGGCCCACCCTTAGGCCAAACATGAAACATGGGACATATTTTTGAATTTTCCCTTCATATATATGTGTGCAGCGATACTGCTGCTACAGTGGCAACCTGCCTTGGTTTTAGTCTGTGACCCAGCTGTGCCATCAGTTGAGGACAAATGGTCCAGGTTGCAGTTTTGCATTTGTAAATAAAATTCTGTATGAGTTATGTCATGCGACAAAGGTATTTGAGAGCAGAAGCAGTAAAGGAGTCTAGAAATGTTGTGAAATGCTGAAAAGCTGCAGAATCATCTAGCATGCTGAACCACTGTTACTCATCTTGAGGATGACTCATTCTCTGTACAGTGGTAACTCGGGTTACAGACGCTTCAGGTTACATACGCTTCAGGTTACAGATTCTGCTAACCCAGAAATAATGCTTCAGGTTAAGAACTTTGCTTCAGGATGAGAACAGAAATCGTGCAGTGGCGGCGCGGCAGCAGCAGCAGGAGGCCCCATTAGCTAAAGTGGTGCTTCAGGTTAATAACAGTTTCAGGTTAAGAACGGACCTTGGGAACAAATTAAGTACTTAACCCAAGGTACCACTGTACTGTATAAGTTTGTATCTGCTTGCAGGCAGACTCAGCGTCTCATTGTCTTGGTCTCTGTGTGGTGGAGCCTGTGCTCTGTGGTAACTCTGTGTATGCTCTGAAGCTAGTTTAATCTTCTGTTCACTATGCTGTTATTTGGAAACAAGTTTATTTTAATTCAGTAAAGCTTTTATTCTTTTACTGAAGCGTCAAGATACACAGCTGGGAGGTCTGTGGCAGCAGAGGTGGTGGGAGCAGAGATACTGCAATACTTGCCCTCCATGATCTTCCACAGCCACTGCCCACTTAGTCATCGCAGCAGTCATCGCCAAAGTGAAAGTAGCAGTTGGAGATGTTTCAAGACACTCCAGCTGTGCGTTTGACTTCTTCCGGTGTGAAGCCCATGACTTTTTCAGGTGTGAGCGGCCATGACCCTGGCAGGAGTGCTCCCTAAGGGACTCCTCCTTTTGGAAGACTGCTTGGAGTGTGTGGCCTCCCTTCTCCCGGTCAAACTGAGTGAATTTGATGACACAAATGCCTTGGGTCTTGTGGAGGAATCCAGATAGTATCGCTTTTAGTTTTAGACAGCACTGATAAACCTAAGAAGATGACAAATAATTTGCTCATATAACAGGACAGGTAGCGTCAAATGTCTGTGTGAGAGAAAGAACTCTTCAACAACCACCCACTCCAATTTCAAAAGAAGGTATTGGCTTGAGGGCTGGCTGTAATTATAATTTAGTGTGACCTTAAGGCTAGTGCTTATTATTTCAAAGTCTGTGAGGAACCTGTATGTATGGGCATGCTTGGGCCTTGAGGGTACATATAACTACAGGGACACTGCACTGGAGAAACGAGAGGTCACAGACATTCCTCTGCTCTTAACCAATTCTGCCCATCTATATGAGAGCAGAAAGAAATATATCACTCATTTCTGGCACAGTGCAGACCTACGTTAAGAACTTGAAATCAGTGGGACAACTTTAACTCCTTCAAAAGTTCTTAACTTCTGCTGGACTATGCCCCGTATTATTATTTTCAATACTTCTGAAGCACATTATCTCTGTCCTCACCCTACAAACAAAGCAAAATAGCTGGAGAATGATCATTGCTGCTGCGGCTGTGAATGTTGTTTGTACGGACGCTAATCTATATGCAAACCCCGCAAATTCTGTCAGGTGCGCCTGAAGCCATCTGGTTCTCCCCAGTCACCTAGCTGCACTTTAACACCCTTTAGCTGGCTGTTATTTTCATTTGAAAACGCAGCAGGTGTTGCCCGCAAGCTGTAGATGGGCTTTTATTTCTCTGGGAGCAAAACTTGTTGTTCATGTTGCAGTATTTTTTTTTAAAAAAATATTATTTTTTGTGTGCCTAACAATAAGGCCTCAGTTAGTAGGAACCAGCATTCAGCCACACAATGCCGTCCATGAATCATTTTCCCCCCAAGCAACTTTGCATACTTGTTTGTCACTGCTCCCAAGGCTATCCACAACAGTATCATTCCCCTCCAAGCCCCATTATATCCTATTCTTTATACTTATGTACAGGAAGCTGCAAGCTCTGCCTATTCCACCTTCATTCCAAGTTCTCAACAATTAAGACTTTTCTTTCTTTATTTTCCAAAAAGAAGGGTTCTTGGGGGGGGGGGGGAGATCTAAGTCTCCTTGGCTCAAGCAGGTTGTTTGTGTCTTCCTCAAGATGTAGTGCAGTTTCCTGCTGTTGTTAAGCTGATGAGAGCAACAAATACTTGCATTGTGCACAACAGCATTTTCTGGCTATTATCCCATATCCAGCCTGATTAGCAAAGTTAAGATGTGTGGAAACCTGATTTTCAGATCTACCATTTACTTATTTAGGTAAAGGTAAAGGTAAAGGGACGTGGGTGGCACTGTGGTCTAAACCACTGAGCCTAGGGCTTGCCGATTGGAAGGTCAGCAGTTCGAATCTCCGCGACAGGGTGAGCTCCTGTTGCTCAGTACCAGCTCCTGCCCACATAGCAGTTTGAAAGCACGTCAAAATGCAAGTAGATAAATAGAAGGTAAATACCTCCGGCGGGAAGGTAAACAGCGTTTCCGTGAGCTGCTCTGGTTTTGCCAGAAGCAGCTTAGTCATGCTGGCCACATGACCTGGAAAAACTGTCTGAGGACAAACATCGGCTCCCTTGGCCAGTAAAGCGAGATGAGCGCCGCAACCCCAGAGTCGTTTGTGACCAGAGTCGTTTGTGACTGGACCAATCAGGGGTCCTTTACCTTTACTTGGTAAATGTAAAAGTAAAGGTAAAGGACCCCTGGATGGTTAAGTCCAGTCAAAGGTAACTATGGAGTGCTGTGCTCCTCTTGATTTCAGGCTGAGGGAACCGGCGTTCATCCGCAGACAGCTTTCCGGGTCATGTGGCCAGCATGACTAAACTGCCTCTGGTGCAACAGGACACTGTGACTGAAACCAGAGCACACAGAAATGCCATTTATCTTCCCACTGCAGTGGTACCTATTTATCTATTTGCGCTGGCGTGCTTTTGAACTGCTAGGTTGGCAGGAGCTGGGACAGAGCAACGGGAGCTCACCCCATCGCAGGGATTCGAACAGGCGACCTGATCGGCAAGCCCAAGAGGCCCAGTGGTTTCGACCACAGCGCCACCTATGTATTTATTTATTTATTTTTAAAGGAGGAAACATGGTACAGTGGTTCCTCAGGTTACATAAGCTTCAGGCTACAGACGCTTCAGGTTACAGACTCCGCTAACCCAGAAATATTACCTCAGGTTAAGAACTTTGCTTCAGGATGAGAACAGAAATAGTGCTCTGGCAGCGCAGCGGCAGCAGGAGGCCCCATTAGCTAAAGCGGTGCTTCAGGTTAAGAACAGTTTCAGGTTAAGAACGGACCTCCGGAACAAGTTAAGTACTTAACCCGAGGTACCACTGTACTGTCGGATTTAGTTGCATTTGAGTGAGTGACACAAACGGATACAGAGGAGGGTATGAGGTGACAAAAGGCAAGTCGAACGTGGCCTTTGAGCAGTTTATTGTGTCTTACTTGCTGAGAGGACCCACGCAGAGTGGGCATATCAGATCTCTGTGCAGTAATGAAACACATAAGAAAGAGGCGAGCTTGGAAATAATAATAAAAAATGCACATTTTTATCCAGGCTTGTACAATTTGTGACTCACCCGCCTGAACAATGCCCACCCGCTATGTACCCTTGCCTGATGGGAACTTGACAATGGCCTGTTTTGGCAGCCAATGGCGGTTGAGAAGGGAACCCAGGAAGTTGTTAATGAGCGCCTGGGATGCCATTTCAAGTGGGATGACCTTTGGCTCTGTGGGGAACAAGCTGTACAGCGCTATCATACCCTTCAACGTTTCTCCAACGGAAATAGGGACATCCTAAGGAAAAGCAGGACAATCCTGGATCAAATCAGAAACCGGGGCAGTTTCTGTAAATCAGGGATGTCCTTGGAAAATAGAGACATTTGGATGATCTGCACTATTTGAAGCCATGAGGGTAGTGAGCAATTTTCAAAGGACATGGTTTCAGATAATCCACTTTTCTTTTGGTGAAGTATTTTCTTCAAAATGTGTAGGTGAGGCATCTCACAACTAGTGGGTTATCAGTATTATGTGCAGTATGGAAGCCAGGGCTCCTTCCTTCCTTCCTTCCTTCCTTCCTTCCTTCCTTCCTTCCTTCCTTCCCATCTCCAGAGAAGCTGCCAGGGATAGGAATAGTGGTCACATTCACACCATACATTTAAATCAATGTTATACTTCTTTAAAAGTCTTGGCTTCCCCCAAAGGATCCTGCAGTTTGATAAGGGTCTACCAACAATTTTCAACACCCTTAACAAACAGACTAAGTTGCTGCTGCTGATTTTCAAATATAAATACAGCCTGCTCTCAGACAGCTGTAAACTTTACATACTTCAGAAGATGCATACCTTCTTCCTTTTTGTGTGTGTCAATATTTGTGGGCTGTACAAATACTTCAGATGTTTCCATTTCCCCACACATTAAAACTTCCCTGATGTCTTCTAAATATCAGGTAGTTGTTTATCTCTTTGACTTCTGATGGGAGGGCGTTCCACAGGGCGATTGCCACTACCGGGAAGGCCCTCTGCCTGGTTCCCTGTAACTTCGCTTCTCGCAATGAGGGAACTGCCAGAAGGCCCTCGGCGCTGGACCTCAGCGTCCGGGCAGAATGATGGGGGTGGAGACGCTCCTTCAGGTATACTGGGCCGAGGCCGTTTAGGGCTTTAAATGTCAACACCAACACTTTGAATTGTGCTCGGAAACGTACTAGGAGCTGAGGTAGGTCTTTCAAGACCAGTGTTATGTGGTCTCAGCGGCCGCCCCCAGTAGCTGCCGCATTCTGGATTAGTTTTAGTTTCTGGGTCACCTTCAAAGGTAGCCCCACGTAGAGTGCATTGCAGTAGTCCAAGTGGGAGATAACTAGAGCATGCACCACTCTGGCGAGACAGTCCACAGACAGGTAGGGTCTCAGCCTGCGTACCAGATGGAGCTGGTAGACAGGTGCCCTGGATACAGAATTGACCTGCGCCTCCATGGACAGCTGTGAGTCCAAAATGACTCCCAGGTTGCACACCTGGTCCTTCAGGGGCACAGTTACCCCATTCATGACCAGGGAGTCCTCCACACCAGCCCGCCCCCTGTCCCCCAAGAACAGTACTTCTGTCTTGGCAGGTTTCAACCTCAATCCATTAGCTGCAATCCATCCTCCAACTGCCTCCAGGAACTTGCACAGGACCTTCACCGCCTTCACTGGTTCTGATTTGAAAGAGAGGTAGAACTGGGTATCATCTGCATATTGATGGACACCCAGTCCAAATCCCCTGATGATCTCTCCCATTTTATTAATTTTCAAAAAAACCAAAACAAACAAAAAACAACAACAACAGTACAAAAACCAAACCAAAACAAAACAAAACAAATTGACTTCTGTCTAGTAGTCCCTTCCTTGGGTCCAATATTTATCAAAATACTGCATGTCTATTGTTAAATTTAAAATCCATTTGTATTACCTATTATCCATTCATAACTAAATTACAAGTAACTTTAAAACCCCGCTAATCACCTGTGTGCAATGCTTCTGTATTTATGCAATAAATGTCTTCCAATTTTCCTTAAATCTGTTCTAGTCTCTTCCTCTTAGTTTCATTGTCAATTTTGCCATTTCAGCATATTCCATTAGTTTAGCTTGCCAATCTTCTTTAGCTGGGGCCCCTTCTTCTTTCCAATGTCCGTGCGGCTGTAGTTACATACATAAACAGATTCTTGTACAATTTTGGTAAGTTCACTTCTGTAATACCTAATAGGAAAGCTTCTGGTATTTTAAAACAAATGTTATTTTAAACATCTTCTTCATTTCATTATAAACCATTTCCCAATATTTCCTTATAATTTTACAGTCCCACCACATGTGAAAAAATGTCCTTTCTGTTGTTTTACCTTCTCGGCAGTGGCGCCCACCCTGTGGAATGCCCTCCCATCAGATGTCAAGGCAATAAGCAACTATCTTACTTTTAAAAGACATCTGAAGGCAGCCTTGTTTAGGGAAGTTTTTAATGTTTAATGCTGTATTGTGTTTTTAATATTTGGTTGGGAGCCGCCCAGAGTGGCTGGGGAAACCCAGCCAGATGGGAAGGGTATAAATAATAAAATATTATTATTATTATTATTATTATTATTATTACACTTTTTCTTTACCAATCTAGTGGAGGCCCAGGATTAATGGGTTGTAGACCCACTGAAATTGATAGACTTAAGTCAATCATATCCATTTATTTAAATGAGTCTGAGTATTACAACTCATTGGCTTCCATGCCAGAGTTCCAATCCAGAGGGGGGGAGGAATCATCATACTTTATCCTTTTGAGCTCCATGGCAAAGGAGTTGTGGCTAAATTAAGTCTCCTTCATGACAAAGTGTAAACTAGCTTTCCCTAGGTCCAGATCAAGCTTCTTAAGAAGCAGTGGGATGTCTTTTTCCCCACAAAGGAAACTAAGAAAGCTGAGGGCAGGAAGTGTCTCCACCCTGATCCACCCAAAACTGGAACAAGAACAGAAAAAGAAAACCTAGCTTGATTTTTCCAAACCTTAAATGTTAACTTGGCAATTTTCACTTGTTTCGTTTGTGTAACCTGCAGAGATGTCTGGACTGGATCTGATCAAAAGAATGACTGCTGGCGAGGACACAGTATCTTTTAAAAATGAAGCTCATCAGTGATAAATCACTATTAACATGTCAGCCTGTTCTTTTTCCATTTCCATATAATGTAACCCTCGGGTGAATGAAAATGTCAAACCATTTCTTCAGAGGGCCTTTACTTTGACTTTTAATAAAACAGAGCGAAGGTATGATGGGGCCTCCTGAGCAGAAACTGATAAAATATCTCATATTTAAAGGTACATTTATTAAACCCATTGATCTTCATACATGGCTCAGCCATACCCTTCCCCTTGTAATAGCAGCATCACAGGACAGCATGACCTTAAAATGAGGACTTAATTTTGTGTACCTAGAACATATTCTGCTCTTGCTAGAATTAGAGTGGAGAACAATGTGGGAGGAAATAGAAAAGGGGGTTAAATGTTGTTGAATAAGCGACTGCAGAACTTTTCTTCTCTTTCTTTTAAGGAGATAGTATTTTGGGTTGAACTGAAATCTGGCATTGGATAAAATCTGCATTCTAAGTTGCTTACACACACACACGTGGAACAGAGTACAGAATAAGAATACAGAAGGTCCAATAAACATTGGCAAAGTAGCTTCTATAATTTTGTCTATATGTGGTGGAAATCTATGGAAGCTCATTTACAATTTTGTTTTCTTACAAGAAATATTCAGTATATAGATATGTTGCAGATAAGTTATTTGTTATTGGCATGACAAAACTGCAGGATGGCCTACAAATAGCTAGTGCTTGTAAATTAATGGTGGTATTAATCCAGTGGTCCAGTATATCTGAAGGAGCGTCTCCACCCCCATCGTTCTACCCAGACACTGAGGTCCAGCGCTGAGGGCCTTCTGGCGGTTCCCTCACTGCAAGAAGCCAAGTTACAGGGAACCAGGCAGAGGGCCTTCTCTGTAGTGTCGCCCGCCCTGTGGAATACCCTCCCATCAGATGTAAAATGAAAAAAACAACTACCAGACTTTTAGAAGACATCTGAAGGCAGCCCTGTTTAGGGAAGCTTTTAATGTATGATTAATAATTATTATTATTAATTTAAGCCTTACTCAGAGTTGTCATTGGCATCTATCATGAAAGACCAAGGTTGCACCTCTGGGAG